CGAGCATGGAGAAGTCCAAGTGCTGAAGGTTTCGACAGATCATAATGCTGCTGATATGATCACCAAGATGTTGCCCAATTGCAAGTTTTTCCACTGTATGCAGTTAATAAAGCTGCATGAAGAAAGCTAGTTTCTTGATGTTATAGAGTTAGATCCAAGGTGGAGATTTGTAAGATGTTGGATCGAACTCTAGTATGGTCGAAGTCTGTTCGCGGGTAATGTGTGTTGTAGTCGAAGTCTGTTCTAACATGCATTAGTCAATATTGATAGGGTTGTTAGCATGTTGAATTGGGCCTTGCTTGTAAGCCCAACTATTTAAGTTAGCTTGTACCCTAAGTTGACTTGTAATGGGTAATTGTTAAAAAGCCCATTAGGTTAGTGTGCTATTTTTCTTATAAATAGGATACTAGTTTCTCAATCTTGACATAAGGAAAAATAGGAAGATAAAATCCTAATTTCAAGGGAGAGAGGTTATTTTGTTATTCTTGTATACTTGTAATCTTGTTCTAAGAGAAAGGAAAGAATAGCAGTTTAATAACCAATCCTTGTTGTTTTCTTCTTTATTAACCCTAACCTTTGTGTGTTTCTTGCTAAGAAACCGTTCATACTTGGTTTAAAGGTATCTGATTCACAACATGATGGTTAAACAAGAAGTATTATTCACTCAAGAAAGAGTAATCAAAAGAAGCTAAAAGCCTTTGAAAAGAATCCTTAGTGCTCATCAAGAAAGCTTCTAAACAATATAGAACTGGTGTTTTATAATCTCTCAGAGATTCATTTTTTAGATAGTTTTCTGTATTAGAAAGCAAAGAGTTGTTGCTTATATCTTGCTTAGAAACACTTAAGTGTTAATGTACTTCATATGTGTAATCAGCTTGTAAGATGCATATTAGTGCACAAGAAAATCCTTGAAAAATGTGTTGTTCCTTGAGCGGTCGAGTGAAGACCAGAAGCTTGAAATGACTAAGTGTGTTTCTAATAACTTAGTGGATGTTGTTCTTTGAGCGGTCGAGTGATGACCATGATGCTTGAGAGAGCCAGGTAGTTGTTGAACGGCTTGGAGGTTAATTTCTTGAGAGATGAATGAATGCCAGGATTCTGAAGAAGGTAATGGAAGGTATCCATTATGGTTGTAATCATGTTGATGATTAGTAGATTAAGTCCTTGTGATAAGGCGAAATCACCTTGAGGGGTGAACTGGAGTAACTTCGTTGACAGTGAATCAGGATAAAAATAATTGTGTTATTTATTTTTATTATCATTATTATACTCATTATTATAATTCCGCAAAAGGGACAAAATGTGAAACTCAATTCAAACCCCCATTTCTTGTGTTTCTCAACCTTTGGCTTTTCCTTTGTCAATACTGACAAGTCTTTCGACTCTTCTATGGCTACTACCATGTGGTGGAATTTTGGAGCCAATGACCTCAAGATCTTTGACACAACTGATATTGATGTCAACACTTCTCCATATACCTTGATTTGATTCACTGACTTTGTAACTCTAGTGAAGAAATCTATTATACTTTCATTGTCTTCCATCTGAAGCAATTCATAAGTTCTTTTGTGAGTTTATAACCTCACCTCTTTCACCTTATCTGCACCTCCAAACGATTTTTCAAGAATCTCCCAAACTTCTTTTGTTGATTCTACATCGCTAACCTTTTCAAAGTTATCTGGATCAATACATTGATGGATTATAAAGAGAGCTTTATAATATTTCTTCTTTAATTCTTTATATGTTGTTTTCTCCTGATCTGTCACAGTTTCTGCAAGCGGTGATAATCCCTCATTCACAAGATCCAAAAGATCTTGGTAATAGAAAACCACCTTAATCTGCCTGCATATATTCTCATAACTATATTTCTTGAGAATTGGAAGATTTGCTGAAAAGTGACCGTTCGGGTGATTCATCGCCATTACAGTTGTTCTTCCCTTGAATTAAAATCGGAGCTCTAGATACCAAATGTTGGAATTCAACTACAATCTATGAAGAATTACGCTCAATCTTGATCTCAGGATTGTTACCAATCACGCAATGACGATGAAATGATTGAGAAAGAAACGTTGGAGAAGAAAATGAAATTTTTTGTAGAGAACTCTCTGCCCACAACTGTGAAATTTTATTATCACTTTGAGACTGCAAAACCGTGATTATCAAACTTGATGATTACAATGATAAGGGTTACTCCCTATTTATATATTTATGTTAACTTGCATCTCAAGCTAAAGCTCAAACTATAAAAACCTAAAAATATATAATTTAATCTTTCTAAATCAAATCTAATCTCTATAAAACAATGAATTAGATATTTAAATTTTTTTAATAATTCAATTTCTATAAGAATAGAAGCTTAAATGTCATTTAGATGAAGAGAAATTGATTTTCATTAATCATTAATTTTTTTTAGGTTAGAAGAATTTTGTTGTTGGTCAGATTATAACTGAGACAATCTCTTGGGTTTTTTTTAACACAAGTTAATTATTCTTAAAAAAATGGTTAATATTTATTTTGTCACGATTTTAAAAAAAATTAAATTTCTGTAAAAATAAATAAATTTGAATTCTCTTTTTATCTTATGAAGATTCTTTTGTTTTGTCCTCTAAAAAGTCAATCATAAAAAACAATAACGTGACAAATTATTTTTTTAATTTCTTTTAATGATGTGAATTGTTAAATTGACATTTTTTTTAATTTTTTATTTATTTAATCTAAGTGATTTTTGATTTTTTTAAGATTGGAAATTAATATGGAATTTATATAAAAATTTGCTACATATAATTTGATTACTATTTAACTTTAATTAAATACGATTTAGTTGATTAATATTTAATTAAATTAAATTTTTTTATTTAATTGATTAATGTTTAATTGAATTACAATTTAATTTAAATTAATTTAATAAACTAATTGAATATATTAAACATTTTAATTATAAATTTAATAAACTAATTGAATTAAATTTTTTCTTCATCATTTTTCTTTTCTTTTTTATTATTTAATATTTTAATTTATAAATATCAATATTTTATATATCAATAAAAATATTATAGTAAAAGTTATTTACTCTGTATCATAAGGAGTGATTCGGTTGACCATTTCACACATATTAAAAAAAAATAATTGAAAGAGAGAATGCTACTTTTACCAAATTACTATTATCATATATTGGAAATGATGAAAATAACATTAATCAGAGGATAAAATTAAAAAATATACATTGAAAATTGAAATTAATCATTCATTTTAGAACACTCTTTTATTCTAAATAGGACATTCATTGTAGGACGATGGGAATATATTATTTGCTGTATAGATATATCAAACAAAATAGACAAAAAGTTGTTCTGGACATCAAACATAATACAAAATAAAAGATTATTTTATATTTTTCTGTACTGTTTAATACTGTTTTGTTCCGTATTTTTTATTTTACAAACATAACTTTTAAATTTTTTTTGCTTCTTTTGTTTAATTGAAATATTGTTATTTAAAATAAGTAAAAAGAAAATTAAAAACCTACATGACATTTAAAAAAATTGTTAAAGAAAAATAATAACTAAGCAATCTACATCATATTCAGAAGAAAAAAAATTTAAGAAAAAAAATTTAAAAAACGATACAAAGAAATATCGAATCATTTTTTATGCTTGAGTAGCCAAAACAAAGAAATCTTCATGGGAGGGAATCCATTTTTTTTACAGGTTTATTAAAAACATCTTATATAATAGGTGTCCAAATAGGTATTAACCAAAAAAAACATGTTAATTGAAACTCAAGAAACATAATTCGCTCAAATTTGATCCCTTCTTTGACTCATTCTCCCACAAATCAAATTAATCTGAAAGACTAAAATTACAATTTTCAAGATTTTTATTCTATTAAAATAGATGAGTATTATAGTAGTACTTACATAACATAATAAGTTATCTACTTCAATAAAATGTTCCAAAATAAATAATTTAATAAGTTATCTACTTCAATAAAATATTCCAAAATAAATGATCCAAGTCTTGCGTACTTATTGATGACAATGTCACGTGGTCAGGCCTCAGACATGAAGGTGATATTCCTTTTTCCACCTTCTAAATTTGTTAGGCTTATCATGAAGTTCTATTTTCCATCTTGATGGTCATTATTAATAAGATAAGAATATTCAACTTCAAATATACACCTTGTATAAGTATAACCGCTGGTTTAACGTAACGAGCTAGTATGTTACATTTCTTATTTTATTACTTGGGGAATAATGCCTCTTTTATTTTCAAAATTAAATAAATGGTCTAAAAAATGTAGTAGCGTATGAATGCAAATAAACTAAGCACAACTCTTGGATAATAATAAAAGAACAACAGAGAATCTACGAAAATATATGGTTGTTGAACCAAACTAGCCTCTGTTGATGTTTAATAGTCACACCGGTGAATTATCAATCATACTATTATACAAATATATCCATTATAAAAGTGAAACAGGTTTATTTAAAAAAAGAAAGTGAAACAAGAATATATTCTATTCTGAAAAGAAAAAAAAAAACAAGAATATATTCTTAATTAATGCACATTAACTTTGGCAGACTTGCACCATTTTTTCTATATTTCAACCCCCATTCAATCAACAGCACATGAAATAAAGTAAGTTCTAACAAAGACTACACTGCCTAATGCTTCGAATTATAGCACCATTATACAATATTGAAATAGTCAAACAGACAACACACATAAGAAAATACTATGCTTGTATAAGACTCTTAGAAAACAAAGCAAGTTTAAGAAATACAAATCACCTCATGCTTCTTGCTCAAGCGTGAGTCTTATATGCAGGCTTTAAGCAGTTTGGAAAAAAAAAATAAAAGAAGAATTTTGTTGAATTGAAAGCTACTTTAACATGGAAGATGGATTTAGAAAATTTTTAGAGTACTTTTACAGGGTAGATGTGAGTTAGTCTTTTTATCTCCCCATGTACACTTTTTATAGTAGTTATCTGCAATCTTCGGTTCAGGGACATGGATTTGGAAACCTTGAATGAATCTTGTTAATTTCTTCAATGACTTCAGACGTGAGCTTGATCTTGCATGCATTTAGAACCTCCTGGAGCTGCCATGATCTGGTAGCCCCAAAAACAACACTAGCAACAAGAGGGTGTCGCAAAACAAAAGCTGCTCAAAACACAAAGAAAATAAGGATCAAATAAAACAGGAAATCCAATAGACAAAATGTGGAAAAACCATTGACTAGCACAGCATCCAATGGGTGAGCTCAGCTGCTCAAGAAAGAGTGAAAATAAAAGTAAAAGCCTGACAAATTGCAAAAGATAAAGCTAAAAGCACTCAATTGAACTCATGTAACAGCATATAATCTACAATAACATCACTTTTCTTCAGCAATGCTTAGTTACTAGTAAATTATTTGAGTAATACAAGACTAAGAAAACATACAATATCAGCACGCTTAGGGGCTCATGTGTTATGGAATCATGCAAATAACTAAGAAAACAAACAAAAACATCACACACAACAAATATACATCTCCATTCACTCAAAAGGGGAACCAGGTTTTCACATCTAAAGATACAGGATAGGGCAATCAAACCTATAGCAAGAGATACAGGATGAAGACCATATGTTTTTGCAACATCAAGGTATTCCTGCAAAATCAAGAAGACATGATAGGGGCATTCACATTAGTAAAAAAATAAACAATTTGGAACACAAGATTCTTATTAACCACGAGTTTCTTCTTTAAGCATCTTCATCTATGAGAGATCAACATATAATAACAGAAGATATTCTTGGGCTAACAAAAACCAAGATACATCTAAAAACTTGGCAACAAGAGTGCACAAAATTTCTCATCTAATCAAGCCAAGATTCAATGTGATAATCAAAACATGCAGGAAAAAAGCTTAAAATGCTTAGCAACACATGACATTATCATTCAAACAAGGCTATATAAATTCTTGAGTGGAAAAAAATAAACAATGCTAACTATAAATGGTTACAACTTACAAGAAACAAACCCTATCTAGTTTTTTGCTCTAATTTGGTAGCAGTTCTTCTTTCCCCAATGAGTTCAACCCAACGAGAATACACCCACAAAATACTAACACCAATAGCCGAAAACACAACCACAGCCCAAGAAACCCAAACCCAAGTAGGAACAAGCCCAGAAGCAAGCCCACTAGCATAAAACAAGACCATTCTAAAAACAAAGTAAGGGCCCACAAACCCCCTCACAACCGTATACACCACATAAAACGGCGGAGACAGAGCATCGTAAACCCTAGCCGCAAACCGGTTCTCCAATCTACAAGCACCGGCGAGCGTCCACGCATTCTGACACGCGCTGGTCACTTCAGCGAGCACAAGCAAAACGACGACGGAGAAAGCACCGTGAGAGACAACATAACGGCACGTGACGATGACGAAAAGCGTGGCTAAATGGTGAGCGATGAAGAGAACGTCGCCTGGGATGAAAACGACGTAGTGTAAAAGATCGGTTACGAAGTAAGCGATGCTGTAATCAAGAACGGTTTTCTGGAACGGTGTGTTGGAGGCTGCGAAGCCGCGGTTGGCGTCGGAAAAGATTGCGATTGCGCCGAAAATCGCGGCGGGAGTGCCGTGGAAAAGTGAGATTAAACAGCTGGAGAATTCGGTTCGGATTTTAGGGTTTTTGTTACGGAAGATGATGAGGTAACCGATTAGGTAAGTGGAGAAGAAGAAGAAGAAAAACGGAAAAACTAAAGAATCTTGTTGTACCAAAAGCATTCCCATTATTGTGCGTTGGGAATGCGATTGAGAAAGGGTTTGCGAAGAAAAAGGGATTTTTCTTTTGGGATTGAAATGAAATGGAAGAATATTCTGGTTTTTATTGTGGAATTTTTTATTTTTGGTTGAGTGTGTTTTAGAGAAAGGTTTTGGGTGAGTGGTTGTTATGAATTTTGAGCTGAGAAGAAATGTGTTGTGTGGCTTTGGTCTTATTTATGAGAAATATTATGTGGGGTTATTTATTTATTTTTTATTCTTTTTTGAATTTGGAAAGAGGGAGATATATTTAGGTCAGGAATTTGAGATTGAATGAATGGTGCAACAGAGAGTGTGTTTTGGTGAAAAAATAGTGGGTTGGTGAGAAAGTACAAAAGTCTGGATTTTTTGGTATATGGATTCAGGTTTATAAATAGAATTAATAAAAAATCATCTTTATTTGAATTGTGCCCAGGTTTATAAAAAATTATTAGTAATACAATGTGTTATGATTAAAAATATCTTTTTGAAATAATTAAGTATCAAATGATTTTTTTATGATAAGAATCAGATGCTTTTTTTTTTGTAATAAGAATCAGATGCTTTAAATCAAGTAATCAAGTAAAAAATTGATTATGATAATTAAAACATGAAAAAAAAAGGTGATTTGAAAAGTTAATGAAAATATTAGCGTTGCAACAATGCTTACCCTAGTAGCTGCATGTATAGCTTTATTGGATAAGCTGTATCTGGATTCTCCTTCTGAATACTTTCCTGAGTATCATTTCCAAAAATTCATATTGATAGGTACATATCTTACATTAAAATCATAAGCTAAAGCAAATTATATGTTAGAAAATGTGAACAAACCTTTAAAGAGATTTAACCTAGCATCTGGAGGACCATTACCAGGGGAAAGATATTTGCCTGAAAGAATACCCATTGCCAGAGGACTGTACGCCAACAAGCCAATACTGAAAACAGAAACTGATCAATCAATTATCCAAAATGAAGCTTTAATAATGCATTACAACGTTAGAACCAAAGATGATGTTCACCTCTCGTGATGGCAGCATTCAGCCATTGCAGAATCAAAAGTTCGACAAAGCAGGCTATAGGAATTCTGTCACTAAACAGAAGAAAATCGGTGTCTGAAGCAACTTTTCATAAAATGAATTGAAGGAGTTCAATGGTAGTGACCGACAATACCTGCAAAGAAACTATCTTTAGGTAGGAATCGAATTTTTGTGCAACCTGAATAAACTTCATCAAGCCATATGGTGTCTCATTACTAAGTCCAATGTATCTGATCTGCAAAGAAATTTTCATACTTTTAGTTCAAGAATCATAACATTTAGCCGTCCATGGTTTAAACTATTTGAAAACGCTACATACCTTCCCAGCTTTCACCGCTTTGCTAAGAGCTTCAAGTTGTTCATCTATACTAATTGAAGAGTATTGTCGATCTGGATCGTATTCGGTTTCTCCAAACATTGGAACATAACTACAAGGATTAGTAACACACGCGTGAAAAAAGGATAAGAAATTTGTCCAACACAATATAAAAAAATTAAGGTTAAGAACAAGATAGAAACCGATCAGGCCAATGAATTTGATAAAGATCAATATAATCCAATTGCATCCTCAACAGACTGCATAAATTTAACAAACAAAGCTTATCAGTATTGAATTCTAGTAGCTAGAAGAAGCTGTACTGTAAAGGTGAATTAGGAAAAAGTAGGTAACCTATTATCTATAGCTTGAATGATATTGGTGGCATTCAAAGATTTGGGACCATCTCTAATCCAAGTCATCTGTCCAGATGGCCCAGCAACCTGTCCATAATAGTATTGTGAGAAAAACATCAATGCTCCAAGAATAACAACTTGTTAAGCAAAAGAGTTTACTGAAAAAAATGCATCATAAATGGAAACAAAAATAACAATAATTACTAGGGGACAAGAAAGAAGCAATATGGTAGATGGTGGTAGTGATATCCAATTAAATGTCAAGTGGAATCTAACAATTAGTCATAAATATAAGTGTCACATCACATGGAATATCTAAACCGATCTAAACGCTGATTTTGTAAGGGTCAAACAATATGGTGCCTGAACTTACGAAATTTCAAAATGATCTCTAAACTTAAAAATCATCAATGACATACTTCCCTTGTGACAATTTTAGGGATTAAATTTATCAACTGAAAAGAACTAATGTGGTGAGGGATTTTCAACTTCAGTAATGTAAGGAATTAAACTGATAATTTACTCCAAATATATATGTTATTCCAAAGAAAATTCATGTACCAATCATGAACCTATGAAGCACGGACACCCTGAATACGATCCCGACACGGCGACACCGGTAATAATTTGAAAAAATGAATAAATTAAACGTAATCACAAGTGTCTATACAGGTGTTTGATACTGACACGAACACGCTTTTTTCAAAGGTGTCGGTGCTACATAGTCATGATCTCTCTCTCACACACAAAATTGATATAGCTAAAGAACTCCATAAGGCAAGAGCAAGGAGTAAGTAAGATATAATCTAGTGTATTGGAGAATTTGAGGGAGGGCCAGAGCATATAAAACTTTTTGGACTCATAAGAAACCTTGACACCATATCTCCACTCAAAACCTTAAGATATTAGATATCACATCTCTTATAGAACATTCTGGTCTCTCCCCTTAAGCAACTCGCCCCTCAGGTCCTATGTTTGGAGCGACTGTGTATATTCCGGTATTTCGCCTAAAAGCATCTGGGTTGACTTCGAACCCGGACATAACATAGCCCACCCCAACCTAAGCCATTCACAGGAAAGGACTAGGTCAGATCACCCTTAATGTGGCAGATCATGAAGGTCAGCCCAGGACCGAATGCAACTCACTTTCTAATGAATACCCACTATACGTGCAGATAGAGCATTAAAGCCATTGGAATTGAATAGCCTTAAAAGGCTGACCTTAGACAAGAAGACAGGGAACTTAACTCCCTTCATTACTTTCAGCTAGACAAGGGAGCACATATCATAAAGACTTAGGCCTAAGGAGATTCAATAAAAACCAGACATCATCAAGTATAAAGGGATACACTTTTCATATGATTCATAATTGGTCAATTAGCTGCGACTCTTACAGCCTCCATCTCGGTGGAGTTATCATATATTTCATTCATTCTTAATCAATGTGAGACTAAAAAGTGAACAAACTAGACTTGATCATAAAATTTGGTCAATAGTCGAGGTCTTCGACTCTAGAGTAACACAAACCCTTTATTAGACTAATCAGTTCAAAAATGTTAAACGAAGAAAAAACCTTAGTTGCAATAACGAGACGGTCCCTGGGGATATTTCGGTGTTTAATCCAACGGCCAAGATACTCCTCACTCAATCCACAAGTCTCAGCACGTTGAGGCACTGGATACCTACACAACACAATACAACAAGATAAACATGAATTGACAAAAGAGAAAAAGGGAAGTAACTGCTTACATTTCAGCGGAGTCGAAGAAGTTGATTCCAGCACGAAAAGCTTCATCGAGAAGATGAAACGACTCAATCAACGTGTTCTGTTCCCCAAATGTCATTGTTCCCAAACACAGTCTTGAAACGGTTAGATTAGGAGCAAGGTTAAACACAGGAACTCCTCCACTCGACAACATCACCTTTCAATGGTTTTGCTTCGAGCGAGTGCAGTAACGAGAGGCTGTGGTTAAATGAAGTAGCCACGTAACCAACATTTGAGGTTAAATTAATTATTAAACTCTGTTTTTTTTTTTTTTTTTATAATAAATAAACAACACAAACACTACAAGTGTGAACAAGAGTCATTAGTTGTTTCAGTTTTTTCAATTTCAGTTTCTGAAAGAAGATGAATGTGTGGCTAACACCCTCTCATCTTCCAGTTATTCCCACTAAGCTTACCATTCACAACACTCTCCTTGCAACTACACTCTCCTTTGGCTTATTCTTTTCTCCTTTCCCTTCTTCTGCCTCTGCCTCTGCTATTCAATCCCCTTCTCTTCTAATCCCTCTTTCTCCTTCCTCGGAAAAATGCCGGGATGTTGAGGTAAGAGATGGAACGGTTCCAACTGCTCCTGAAGTTGTTACCAATGAAGGACTTGTTCAGGAAGCTTGGCAGATTGTTAATGATGACTTTCTTGACACTGGTCGCCACCGTTGGTCTCAAGATACCTGGCAGGTAACGTGTTTGTGGAAATTCCCCTACTAACCGTAAGAAAAAATAGTTTTGAAACTATTTTTTCATCTTAGACCAGTTTATGAAATTTTATCATGAGGGTTTTGGTTTGCAGGTTGTATTCATTACTTTACCAACTTAAAAGTTTGATTTTTTTATCATGTGTTGCTAGCTAAGTACCTATGTAGAACATACACTTTATCAGGGGTACTTGTGATTGTGATCGCCTACAATGGCCTCAGTGTTGTTTGATATTTGTGTGTATCTCAGTGCTTCATAGGTTGTTAGCTTTGCTTCTTTGATGTTTTTAGCGTATGGTAGTTGGTTGGTGATAATAGTTGTTTATTATTTGCAGCTGAAGAAGAATGATATTTTGAGCAATTCCATTCCAACACGGTCAAAGGCACACCAAATCATCAAGCGAATGCTGGTCAGTTTAGGTGATCCATATACAAGGTTTCTTTCACCAGAGGAGGTAATTGATTCTTCAATTTTCATTGGCATTGCTCTGTGGAAGTTTTTTTTAGTCATTAGATGTTTATGGGTACTTGCCTCCTCTGATCGCAATCCTTCTTATTGCTAAGAATCACCGTGGCAACAGACACACAAGATATGAATCTCAGCCGCATTGCGGTCGCAAAGATGTAAAAAACAATCTTAAAGCCACATCAACAATTGCGGCCACATAACTTTTTTTTTTTAAAATATTGGCTGTTCGTGCCACTACCATATGGCCTGAATTGGCAATGGATGAATGTTTTACTGTGCTTTCTGAGTTGAAAATTGGTGTGCCTATATTCTTATGAGACATCAATTAAACTAAATAAGAAACTTGTGACACATTCTTGTATAATTGTACTATTAACTATTGTTTGCATAGATTTCTGTACTTTCTACCATCATGCTTCTCATGTTTCTTACTTAATGGTATATGGACATTTTTTTTTACTTTTAAAAGTTCTCCAAGATGGCGAGGTATGACATGACTGGTATTGGAATAAACCTTAGGGAAGTTACTGAAGACAATGGAGACCACAGGCTGAAGGTATTGGGATTGATATTGGACGGTCCTGCATATTCTGCTGGTGTCAGACAGGTAGACATAGACGACACTCTACAAAGCTACTTGGTCAATGTCTTTCAAGAATTATCCTTTGTCATGTTTTTTTCCAATTCGTTGTTGATGTTACTATGATTATATCATTTTTTTTGTCGACTGGCAATATCATTATTATGTGCATAACTCTATAAGTTTTGAAATTTTTGTCTTTAGATGGTATTGTCACGCCTTAGAAATGTTGTTTCCTACTCATTTTAAAAATTCTTCACATACAACACTCTTGCTTTTATTTTTAGTTAAGTCAATGAAATATGTGAAATGAATCATGATATGCTTTGTCATTTCTATGTAATCAGTCTCTTATATGCTCACTTTTAGGAACGCAACATAATGCATTTCTTTTTGTTTGCAAGAGCAATTGAAGCTACTATACTACTCTAGAGAAATTGATCAACAATTGAAATGGTCCTTTTTCCTTCTGTTTCTTGGTTAGGGGGATGAAATATTGGCAGTCAATAACATGGAGGTAAAGGGAAAATCAGCATTTGATGTATCATCCCTGTTGCAAGGCCCTAACGGAACATCCGTGACTATTCAGGTTTTGGATTTTGATTCCGAGTTAGTTTGTCACCTGCTCTAGCCTTTGTATTTAGGTTTTTAATGTTCAAGTTTAATGTTGGTATCACTATTGTCAGGTCAAGCATGGAAACTGTGGACCTGTTGAATCAATAGAAGTTCAGCGACAATTTGTGGCTCGCACACCTGTCTCTTACCGGATGGAACAGGCTGACAGTGGTGCTGCTCATGTTGGGTATATCCGCCTCAAGGAGTTCAATGCACTGGCTCGAAAAGATTTAGTCATCGGTAAGCTTTTCATAGCATATTCTTTTTTTTTTTGCTTGCTTGTGAGGACACTATAACGAATTGAATTTTGCAGCAATGAAGCGACTTCAAGATATGGGTGCCTCATACTTTGTATTGGATCTAAGAGATAATCTTGGTGGGCTCGTACAGGTTTGATTTCAATAACCCTATCTACCTATACCATTCTTATTTTCTGCTTTGAAATCAACTAGAATAATAAGTTTTGTATGTTGTTTGCATTCTGAAAATGAAGATAGACGATACAACTTCTATTTGACGCGTCATGTGTGTTAGTGCAGATTATGCTGAGAGGAAATGCCAGGATTGTTTTTGCTGTCACATTTTTTCTTTTACCTTTTCTTTTTCATAAAATGAAGTAACAAATGTTCAAAGTTTATGCAGCTTTGGCATGTTATCATAAGTTATTATCTTCAAAACTTATGAAGTAAATTTGATTGCACTATTGGGTTGTGCTCAAATATGCTTTGGTTGATAAGATTACAAGATAAATGATGTGTGTGATGTATTGAATGTAACTTTTCCCTGTTTTTTGAAATTTCCTAATTCAGTTTTGCCCCTCTTAATTTATTCAGGCTGGAATTGAAATTGCAAAGATTTTCCTAAACAAAGGAGACACGGTAATTATGTCAACTTTGTGCCTGTCGTTGAATCATGGACTACTCAAGCACACATTGTGTAAAAAGACTTTCTCTTATGTAAACCATTAAATAACTTGATAAATGATTGGGGAGGTTAAGAATGAGGTCTTAAATATGTTATCTATTCACTTGAATGTTACTTTGCCTTAAAATGTGATATTGGTGGTTAAAACATTTTTTATCCCTTGAATTTTCTTGTTTTCAATAATTGTGATTTCTCATTACAATTATGTTAGACATTTGCTAGCTGTTTACTTAACATATGGCCCCTCCGACTTTTTTGTACAAAGTGTAGAGTTCAGTAATAGATTAGATTAATTTTGAGTGAGTTGATTGATTAAGTGGTTTAGTTAATCAGTTATTTACGTAGTAGATAATCAATTAGGATGGTGATATCATCGATTAAATGTTCGTTGTTTTTTTTATACTAAAGGATATATTGATGTAAAAATTGACTGCTATCTTGTTAATGCTTTTTCAACTGTTTTTTGGTTACTTAACACAGACATGTCCTTTTCTACTGTCTTCATGACAGGTCATCTACACTGCTGGGAGAGACCCCCAGTTCCAGCAAGCTGTTGTTTCAGATACTTCACCATTGATTCGTGCTCCTGTTGTTGTAAAAGCTTTTCCTACATCTGAATATTTTTATACAATTACATTTACATCAAGGAATTGTTTTGCTCCCAATTTCCTTTTTATTTCAATCTCCTTTTTTTTTTTATTTGAATGAATTATCATGCTTTATTGTGATATTTATAGATGATAACTACGGAGTAAATTATAAAATTGAGTTGTAGACAGAAACTTTTTAATCAAAGTATGATACTCCCATTTTGAATTACTGTTACTTGCCATTGTTTAGTGAAATTCTCATTCTGGATACTTCATGATAGGCTTTTAAGTCTCTTTTGGTCTGTATCTTGCAGGTTTTAGTGAATGACAAAACTGCTAGTGCAAGTGAAATAGTGAGGAGCTATTTCTTTTACTTTTTAACTCATGCTTCTTATCACACTGATGTTCATGTTATACTTAATTGTTTGTTTCAGGTTGCTTCTGCACTCCATGATAATTGTAAAGCTGTTCTTGTTGGAAAACGCACATATGGAAAGGTTTATACATATTTTTTCATCTATGCTAAATGGTTTTAAAATGTGTCTAAATTGTTTCAATCTGCATTCTTATTCTAACACTCTTTTAAGCTTCACTGTGCTATGATTGTTTTCTTTCAGGGTTTAATCCAATCTGTATTTGAGCTTCAAGATGGGTCTGGTGTGGTTATTACTGTTGGGAAGTATGTAACACCAAAGCATAAGGACATAAACGGAAACGGAATAGAACCCGACTTCCAGAAACTTCCAGGTATACTTGTGTTTTTCATCTTCTATTTCTTTCTTTCTTTCTTTCTTAGGGCAAGTGTTAGAGTTCCTACCATATGACTAGCACTAGATTGTTGTGAAGCACTTACATATACACAACACTGAAACTTGGCACGTAGAATTTGGTAATAATTTGAGTAAACGAAAGTGATTGAATGTAATCATGTGTCGGTGTCGGACATCAGACATGTCTTCAATCTAAAATGGCAGGGCTACATAGCTAGATTATCCTTTCATCTTTCTCTCTATGAAAGTAGTAAAATTGTAATATTGTTTTTATGACTTGAGCTCTCCCTATATTTGCAGCTTGGGATGATGTCAGTCAACATCTTTCAAAATGCAGTTTGCTTCAGCAAGGATAAAACTGTTTCTGTGGCGCATTGAATGCAATCTTTTAATGGGAAACTTAAGAATCTGCATGCTTCTATCAAGAAAAAAAAGAATTTGCATCCTGGAAGCTGCCATGTATATATCTCAAGAGTTCCAGGTTATTGTTAATAAATATATAACCCAAGATTGGTGGGAAGAAATGATCTCAGCTAGCATGCATGAGTTTGTATCAAAGAGAACAGAGCATAACTGTAGCAACTTGGATTTTAATACTTAACTAACATAGAAAACTTTGTTTACGTTATTGTATATTTTGATACTATTCCCTTAATTTTTTTTACTTTTTCAAATTTGAGTGTATCAAATATGAATGCTTAAAAAGTGTCACATTATTGGTGAACAAATTATTACAGTATTGAAATTGGAGAAAATGGAAATTGCAATTTTTTCTGCAAATATTTTGACCATTGTCCTTTTAACTCTCGAGTATTCTGATTGTCGGTCGTACTTAATGGTAGTTAGATACTCGTCTCCTTTTAAGTACCAACGATTAAAACCGCCTCACAAATTTCATAAGAAAAAAATCTCTTTTTCAAACTCTAAAAACAATCACAATTCATCAAATCAATTTTCCACCTTAGGGCATCTCAAAACCTTTTCACAAAGGACATGTTACTTTTATTCTATAGCAATACAAATAACGCTTAAGTCTTTCATGCGCGAGCATACAAGCTACGCTTAACTGCCAGAATGTGATCCAAGCGCATCCATTCTACCGCAAACAATAAATGCTTAAGTCTCCCATGCACGAGCATACAAGTAACGTTTAACTGTTAGAACGCGAACGTTAACATTGTTCAATAAAAACAACCAACACACACTCATTTTCTACCATGAACTACGAAGCTCTGATTTCCTCATTGCACCATGAGGATACGTAGGCACAAGATTGCGAGATCCTGGCGAGCAACATTTTCCTTTTTTCCTCCTTAGTTCTCTGAACTACGGAACTCTGATTTCTCATTTCAATATGAGAATACGTAGGCACGAGGGTTCTCATCCTTGGCGAGCACACTAATTTAAAACTTATTTTTCCCCAATAGCAAGTAACTTTTAGATAATAACATCCATTCGCTCATAAAACAACCAAGATGGTTCCTGTTAAGTATAACAGATGTGAGGGGTGTTAATATCTTCCCCTTGCATAACCGACTTTCAAACCTAAATTTGGTTGCGAGACCATATTCTTCACCTTTTAGGGGGTGTTATCGATATTTTTCCTTTGCTTTTGAATAAATAAAGTTAGGTGGCGACTCTGTATTTTTTACGTAGCAAGAAGGGTGCAAATATATAAGTGTCAACAGTGTATAGCTAACTGTCACCTATTTAATCGTCCATATACAACCTTCAGCTAATTTGAAGTACATGTATGCCAAACGAGCGACCCCATAGTTATACTCATTAATCTGCTTCAAGTCAATGAAGTGTCTGAGGTAAACCACATCAACATAATAGAAATTCTTGTCCACAAATATGGATGTGTCAACCAAGCACACCATGTATTCTCTCAACGCGTATGCTCTATGTTGCATAACCTGGTCATCATCACCAGCGCCTTGCTCTACCGTTGTCATCTACTATGCATATAGCCTCTCCAAGAATCCAAACCTAGCATTTTAAAGCATCACTGTCCTGCAGAAAAATATATCATAGTCAAAATTTTCGAATATTATAACAAATGTGTTTCAAAGAATGAATACAGTTGAATTTTACCTCTTTATCTCACATGTGTCTGGCAACATGGTCCAGATATAGAGGCAATAACGATAAGTCGGGCGGGCCTCCTTCAAACCTCTCTGGTGTACGGGGTGCCTTAACATGTATCAATGGGGATTCCTAGGTATCATGAGGTGACACCTGCCTCCTCCGGGAAGACGAAGGCAGAGATGAATGAATCTCAGAAGTTGGCGCCTCCGCATCAAATGAACTAGAACCAACCAGTGCATGCGAGAGTCAAGATTCTTTTCCTTCGAACTGGTGCATTCTGAGACACTCTATTGTACCTCAATCATTCTTGGTTATCAGCCATAATACCTATAATTAAACCACACAAGTAATATCCAGATGAAACACAATGAAAATAAACCCAAATAATGCACATGATAAATACACAAATGCATTTCGGATTTTAGAAAATCAAAACTTTGAACAAATCCGAAAGTGCATTTCTGTATTATTTTGCAGCTCAGAGTAGAACGAAAGTTACATAAATACATTTCAATCCAACATCCTAAACATACATTGATCATTTAAACTACACATCAAACACATTTCTAAATTAAATAACATATTTAAAATACCAATTATACAACCTAATGCTCAATTTCTACAAATGTATAGAGAAATAAAAAATGTATAGAGAAATAAAAAACTTACCGACTGAGAGTTTGATGGTGAGCTCTTTGATCGATTGGATGTTGATGGTAGAAATTTGGACTTGAGTTGAGAGACTTTGAGAGAGTTTAAGATTTTGAGAGGTTTTATGAGTTTAATAGAGTAAAATAGAAATGAGAAAGGAGAAAGGATCTGACGTGTTTTTTATTAAAAACATGTCCAGAAGTACATCTCAATAAAGTATACTGAGATGCATTTTCGTATTAATTTTTGGCAAAACGTTAGTGTCTGGCTAAAAAACGCTTGAGTTGTGTGTGAATGAGGTGCGTTCAGAGATACATTTCCGAATTCTAGGAGTAGTTTTGATTTTTTTACTAGGGTGTGAGAGCAAGCCTTAAAGTAAGAAAAGCAATCCTTTACTTATTTAGGGTCTTAATATTATTGAAAATTCTCTTGCCCAAAAACATGTTGGATGAGGCTAATTTTTTATGAGTCCTATAAGATGAGGAAAATGCTCATCACATCCTATGGGATGCGCCCCACACTTTTGAAAAAACCCAAAAATTCTCTTATCGGTGTTCGAATATGCATATTCAGACGCAACTAAAATCACACAAGTCCTCGTAATTCAACCACACATCCCATTTGGCCAAAATATGGTCTAGAGATGCATCTTCGTAAATTATTTTGGATGGTTCCGGAAATGCATCTTCGTAAACCCCTTGAATTTATTTTAGGCTATTGGAAACATGTTTATTTTACATAATAGAAGATATTTAGAGATGCATCTACGAAAATCCAATGAATGCTTTCTAGGCAGCAACATTGTCCTAACTTTGACATTTTTTAGCCAATTTATATTTTAGGTTTTACATTAGAAAATACATACATTAATTGATTCAAACATTCTACACACATACACACACTAAGAAAGTTATACATTAATTAAAGTAAACTCAAAATGTGCCGACCATACATAACTTGTTTCGAAAATACAAAAAATAATACAACTACATATAAAATACTATGTATTTCTAACCCCTGGGCTTCTCCGATCTGTATTGCAAGGCATTCAAGGGCTCGACAATAATGCCTTATATGAGGGTCAATTGGGAATTTCCTTCCTAAAAAACTCCTTCCTTTATGCTCGATCTCGTTATATCCGCAATACACCGACAAATGCTGCGTACGTCCTGAGTGTGACCATACCTAGCCTCTAGTACCTCCTAGTTATATGGCCTAGATGGTCTTCTAGAAGTGTCTGGTGTCAAGATAGGACGAGACACCCTATATAACTATGTGATGTAGTCGTCTGCATAAGTCCATTGTATAGAAGTTGACACTCTATGATAGTCCTCTAGTACCAAATGACTTGAGAGATCCTCAAGTATGACATCAAGATCTCTGCAGCAGACGGTGGGAGGAGCAGACTCTATGGAATGTCTCAGAATAACCTACAAATACCTAATTTTGCACAACACTCGCTCGGACAAATACACATACATCACACCTGACCCACAAGCCAGACATTTGAAGTATAACGAAATGACATCTAGTTGATGCGTTTGGCTGTGACCGTCATACTACAGAAGGCAAGGTCATCTGCGACATGGAGGTCGAGATAGACCCATAAGAGCTTGATCAACTGATTCTCTTTGAGCGGGGCAAAGCCGAAAGCACGTGGCCAATCCTCATTGTAGTTAGGCACACATTCTCATCTGAAAATGTGAGGAAAGTGGAAGATGATTCATCCCTAAAAATGATTCAAATAAAATATTAGTAACAAGTGTAACAAAAGAGTTATGAAAATATTAGTAATAGTAAATTATTGTAAGCAACATGCAACTTCTTGTCAACTGATTTGTCTTCCAAAGAGGAATGTGAAAAGATGTCATCTCTGAATGTCATCTCTCTGCAAATGTTGCCCGCATGCCAGGGTTTATGGTCTTGTACACGGCAGAATATAAACCAGCAAGCCCGTAGTAGCAGATCCTGAACCAGTCGTCTTTGGGTTGTTTCAAATCCAAAATCTTCATTCTATGGTTTATGGATTTTAAACATGGACGCTCTTGTAAAAAATATATCACTATCAAACGCGATTAAATTAATATAAAGCAAATATAATGCAAAAGTAAATAAATATACCTCTTCTTCCCAGACATGCCTAACAACATGGTCTCCATGGAGATAAAGTAAGGAGGTGTCAAATAGGCCTCCTGGATAACTATCTATATGGGCATCCGCGTCAGCAGTGGGTTCCTCCTGATTGGCCTTATAGACATCAGGGGCTTCATGAGCTTCATAAGCAAAGGACATGTATCTTGGTGAAGTAGATGCCTGAGACAGACAATTTCGAGAAATAGAGTCAGATGGTTGTGAACCATCAAATGAGGTAGCATCGACTTGCGGCCACATGACTCTGCCCTTGGCCTTTTCACGCCATACAGACGAGTGTTGGGACACATGGTCGTGCCTAATTATGTTCCGGTTATTTTCAACCATTGCTCCTATAATAAAAGCATAAAATCACATCAAAATTCAGTTAAAATGCACTCATGCCAAATCTGGAGATGCATTTTGAAAAACCATTTCAGACAAAATGCACTCATGCCAAATCTGGAGATGCATTTTGAAAAACCATTTCAGACATAATCTAGAGATGCATCTCTAGATAAACTCACGAGCTGTAGAAATGAAAGAAACATCATTGATGCTCTGAACTCCAACCAAATAGTAATGCATGTCTATATCAAAACCATATTTGAAATGTACTACTGTCTAATGCTTACTAAACGACCTATGTTACCTAAAACAACATTCAAATCTAATAAATAAATAAATGAGAATTTTACCAAATTAGAGTTGTGAATGAAAAGCTTGAATGGAATAAGTGACTTTGCAACAAATGAAGTAGAATAGAATGAATGAACATGAAGAAACTTACCCAAATGGAGTTTAAAAATAACTTTGCAACAAAAGAGCTCAAATGAGATTTTTTTTAAAGACTTTGTAGAAAATGAAGAGGAAAAGGTCTAACACGAGTATATGAAATAAACGCGTCTGAAAATGCATCTCTGTAAAACTTCCTAAATTTTGAATTAAATATTTTTACTAAGATACATCTCTAAACTCACATTTATATTAATACGGAAATACATCTCCAGAATATATGTCTAAAGATGCATCACTTGATGCTAAAGAGAGTTGTAATTTTTCACCGAGATGAAAGAAACCTCATGAGATTTAGAGAACAATTTCTTCAGTGTCTCCTTTCAAACAAATATTGATAATCCTCTTCTTATAGAAAACCCATAATAAGATCAGTGCTCTAGTTCCAGCTGTTTGCTAAAAAATTAGGAAAGAATTCCTCGCATTCCAAAGCAAAATAAAACCTCCTTATGGGCACCCTAATTCTCACAAATTAAGCTTAGTCACCCTATAATCACCTCCTATTATTTATATATAGGACATAGCGTGTCTCTCTAACTATCTCACTCATTACTAATCCTAAACTACCTCTACCTCTCCCATCTAACAGACATGTCATTATACTGACACTTCCTATAACTATATTTACACTAAGTAATTCCAAAGAGTACAAATATACAAACTTCTTACACTCCATTATTTAAATTAGCAAGTAGAACATGTTACATAATATATATCCCAACAATATCAACATTTCAACAGGTATTATTCTTATTTACAATGTACTATGAGCATAAATCATTTCAAACCCAACTCAGATAAGAAGCAACACAGACGCAACAGTGATGCCGATGACAGCTAAGGTGGCAACAACTGAACCTTGGTCAAATGATTTGTCCAAGCTTGTTCTTGAGAAATGCTGGAAAGCCAAATACGCTGCAATCAGTAAAGAAACTGCAGCACCTTCTTTTGTGTCCCTGGTCAAGAGAATAATGATGTAAAAATTTTTATTTTAATAAATAGGGCAAAGTTGACAACAGCTCAATGGCCCCAAATACATGGATTTGCTTACCTTAATCTTATAGCCTCATCAGGAGCTACAATCACCAAGAGTAACGCTATAAATGGCAACTCAAGTTCACCTGTAATCAAAGAATATCCAGCAGAATCATTTCCTTTCTCCAATCAATATTCAAAAAACATGAAGAATAAAATACATAATTCATTTGAATTATACTGCTATACTACAAAGTTGGGATTTCAATCTTGTGCCTTGCAGATCATAGTGTCACACCGACGCAACCATGGGAGTCAAGTGAGATTGATGAAATAGGAGTGCTTCAAGTGTTATAAGAGAGATACAAAAATACCATCAAATTTTATAAAAATATTTACTGCACAGCTTCAAATTCTGTGATGTTGGATGAAACCAAATGTATGGTAGTAAAGAACAAGCAAGAAAATAAGCTAAATCTTGTAAAAATGAGAATATTACTATGGATTATTGGACTCGCAAGACAAAATATGATTTAGAACAAATAGAAGAATTTTGCCTTGGATAGTTTTGTTTAGGCATGTATGTAAGGAGAAAAAAGTGTACAAACATGTTTCCCTCTCAATCATCAATCTCTAGCTCTTTCTTAATAACTTCTCTTATTTCTAGACCCTGGTTGACTTCTCTCCATCTGATCTATTCTCTTTGCCAAATAATTTAAGGATCTTGTCTCTACATGCCAATATCAGATGGAGCTCATTGAGAAGATTTATATTTGAAATGGTTTGTATTAAAAAATTGATTGAAAACATTTAATAATTCCCCACCTAGTAGAAAAAGGCTTCTGTTATTGCCCCTAAAACAAAATGTTGATTTTCAGCACTCTTAGTGAGGGCCATATGGTGTTTTCTTAAGGTCTATTGCGTCCACTGTGACTCCTTAAAGATTCCTACATTTTATGTGCATGTGATGGATAAGAGAACATACCAGGAATATGAAAGAAAAGACGGACGATAAGTGCCAAGAATGCTGACCACACACCATATCTACCTCTGTTCATCGCAATTTGTGTCAAACATTTAAACCAATAAAAGGTAAATTAGAGCCCAAATAAAAGGTAAATTAGAGGCCTTTTGATAAATTGAATAACATGTACTCTTAGTGTACATACAAAATAATACACCACAATTAGTTGAACAAACATATGAAAATCTACTTTGAAACAATTCACCATATAAAGTGAACAACGACAACAACCGAACCTTATCGCACTAAGTGAAGTCAGTCACATGGATCAACTTCCGCCATAATGTTTAATCTTGTACCATGATTCTATCCAAATCGTTAATTTCGAGATTTTTTTAATCACTCCTCTAATAGTTTAGTTCTATCTTGTCCCATGATTCTATGGAAATAATTAATCTTAATAACTTCTCTAATAGTTTCTCTTCTTCCATCTCTAGTAGTTAGATTCTCTCCATCTGATCTACTCTCCATATCAGAGAATCTCCATGCCTTCTCTCTTCATGCGCAAACCATCTAAAACTAATTTCCACCACATCAAGTGAAGAGGAAAACAAAAAAAAACAAAAAAAGAATTGATAACTTACTTGATCCAGTTAAAGACAGCCGCAGGTGCTTGCAAAGCAAATAATGGAACAAGAAATGATTTGGGTACAGTGGTGCCCTTTGCCAGTACTAAAACCCTACAAGATTAAACCAACAAAGAAACAAAATAGAAAAGAATTTAGTAGAGCAAAACAGGTAGTAAAAATGATAAAATTGAATAGAAGTAAAATCCATGATTATGCATTGTTATGAATGAAGAGGTAAAGGCGGAGAGAGAAAAGAGAACAGACAGAGCAGAAACAGTAGCGATCCACTGGACATTAGGAGTGGTGAAAGGATAAGGAGCAGCATATGAACGCACGCGAAACCCTGCGATTCTTGTGTTGCTGGTTTTGGATTTGTCGGCAATTCGAATTCCGTAATGGCGAGTGAAGGATCTGAAATTAAAGACGGAAATATGATGAGAGAGAAAATGAAAGGAAAGAGTAGGCAAGAATGTACCTGAGGCATAGGGGATTGAAGGTGCGGTGGGAGGGAAGGAGAGAAGGTGAAGAGAAGTATGGATGTCTTGTTGTGCAGTTGAGAGGAGAGAAGGCAGTTGGAGCATTTGCAGTTGAAGATGAAGACAAGACGCAACCTGATGACAACATTCTTTTATGCTACGATGAGCTCTCAAATTCTTCTATTGAGTCTCTTCCCTGAATTTTTACACGAAAGAAGGAAAAGTGAGTGATTCAGTACTTGAGTCTACCCAGACACACCGAGGACCCTCCAATGGGAGTTCTTAGAGTGGGTTTGCCAACATGGCACTCATATTTGTTCTTTTCAAGATGAAAAAGTTCTTAAATATGCAACGGTTCTTCAATGGTTCTTATATTAAAATATTAATTTTATAATATAAAAACTATAATTTGATATAAAATTTTATTTATTATTTTAATTATCATTTTAATTAAAATTTAAATATTTAAATTATAATTTTAAATAAAATAAATTTAATATAAATAATATTTTTTAAGTAAAGTGGTGGGACCCAACATGGATTCTTTAGAGTTGCACCATTGGAGTGAAAATTAAATGAGCTGCTTTAAAAGAGTGGATCCTACAAAAAACCTAAAAATGAGTTGCACCATTGGAGATGCTCTTACGATCTGTTTCTTATTTGTTACACACGCGTCACTCAAGTTAATGGTAACAGTGTATACGTGGAGAAAGTCTTGTTTGCTCGAAACACTTCACCGCACCATTTACTTACACGCACAATTATGTCTTCCAATATTTTTAAAAGAGGCCGTAAAATAAGTTGGTTATTTAATGAATTTAATAAATAAATTGTTATTATAAAATATATTACATATAAAAACTAAATTAAATTATGTGTATTTTTTATGTATCACGAACGATTTAATCTTAATTAAAACTCATTCATTTCAACTTAGCTTTGTTTTCTGCCTTATAAGTAACTTTATGTTTCTATATCTAATTTTTGTAATGAAATGCTATGTATTAATGTCTTGTATTTTGTTTAGTTAAATATTTCATCGGTTATTACTATCCACTTTTCATTTTATTTATTTTAAATTATTTGTTCATCTATAATACTAATATGATATTTTTTTTCTTCCTATTTATCTTTATTTATTATATTTAAATTTATTTATTATTTTAATATGTATTATTAATAAAGTTGTTTCAATAAATAATATTAATTTTAACATTAAAATCAATACAATTAATTGTTATTTTAAAAAATATAAAAATTCAAATATAACACCTAATATGAAGCCGATGGAGTTAACATAAAGGAAGAGTAAGTTGTACATTATTAAGATGATATAACAAATCATAATTATTTTAAGTTCTTCATATTTAAAAATAAATTAAAATTAAATTTGGGCTTTTAAATTTTTCGCAAGTATTTAAATTAATTATAAAAAAAAATTAATCAACTAGAAAATCAAAACTTAATTGTCTAATCAATTAAAATAAGAGTAACACCTCTTAATCAATTATGCAATCTTATTAATCGATTAAACAATGTCATAGATTAAGGTTTAATTTTCTGGCTTAATCTAAACGATTAGGTTGATGTCCTAATTAATTAAGAAGCGGCCTAACCTATGGATTGTTGCTTTTTTAAGCCAAACTTTTTCTACATAAATTATGTAAAACCTTGTTTTGCATGTTAGTTCTAGGTGTCATACCTTTAATAAGAACAATAACTTTTGATGATGACAATAAGTCCTTAATGACTAGTCAATCATAAGTTGTTAAGCGGTTAAATATGCAAACCAAAATATTATGGTTTGACAGACTTAATTATATGATAATGGAAATCAAACGGAATATAACTCAAGGCTCATCATAGGTGAACTCAAACAAGTGTCTACAAGGAAGAAAATATCTGACAAAGTCTTGAAGTACAAGAAAGTCTCACCTCAATTAGTCTGAGTGAATACTTTGTAAAGTATAAGGGCGTTCTAGGAAAAGTGCATGACTAAATTATACACATAAAAATATTTTTTAAACTGACTTTTTCACATGAAAATATTTTTAAAAATGTCTTGAAGTCGTGTCAAATGAGTTGGGAGTTGTCTTAATAGCTTTGGGTAAAGTTTTGTCTTTGTCAATTCATTGGCACATTGAACCAATCAATTTTGTTTGGGTTCAAAGCTAAATCTGTAAAAATCTTAGGTTTGAGATTTGTGTGATCAAGTCTCTTGTTTAGTTTCGAGATCAGCCTATGGTAAAATCTCATAGATTCTTGGTTAACTTATGATAAAACCAAGTTTAGGTAAAAGCTTAACCTGATATTAAAAGCTTGTTTAGGTTTGAGATAAGCTTGTGGTAATATCTCATAAGTTCTTGGTTAGTCTGTGGTAAAACTAATTTTAGGTTAAAACTTAGTCCAATATTAAAAGCTTGATTATGTTAGAGATCAACCCATGGTAAAATTCATAGGTTATTGGGTAGCCTAGTATAAAACCAAGGTTTAGGTTTGAGAGCTCATCCCGAGGTTAAAAGCTTCTAATATTTGTTTAGAAGCTTGAAGACTAACCGCTATGAGATTCTTGAAGAAAGAAGACTAACTGCTTTGATCCGCTATCTGGAAGGAAAACTCGCTAGTTTATTCTGTTGTTTGTTGTTTGGTTGGAAGTTAGATATAAACTTCGTTTTTCGTTGTATAAGGGAGTTCGAAAGTTTAACCTACTAAAAGCTCTTAAGTTTAATGGATGCTCTCAAGATCAATTCTTGGGAGAAATGAGTAAGTCTTTTCTTTTGTTTGACAAAACCTCTATAATTTTTGGTGTCTTCTTTCTTCCCTTAAATTCTTTAATTTCGGTACTTTACATTATGCGTTTTATTTTTTCTAGTTTACATTATGCGTTTTATTTTCGTTACTTAATTTTAAAACAATTTTTAAATTTTTTTCTAACTTTAATTTTAATTTCAAAAGTTTTTTAAAACCATGTTTTTCTAAAACACACAATTCACCCCCTCTTATGTGTGAAGTCATATGTCCAACAAGTGACATCAGAGCCTAACTCCTGTTTAAGGACTAATAATCTTAAGTTTAGAATCTTTATTCAAACCATCAATCATAAATTATGGAAAACTATAATAAATGGCCTGTTTATCCATACATACCAAGTAAATGGAAAAGTAGTAGATAAACTCGATTCCCTTTAGACCAAAGAGGAAAGGAGAAAGTTTGAGATAAATTTTAAAATTAAAAGCTTTATAACAATGTCTCCAGGTGATAATAAATTTTACTATGTTCATCAATGTAATACCGCCAAGAAAATGTGGAATATTCTTGATATGATATATGGAGTCTCTCCAAGTATAAAACAAGAAAAGATGAACACACGAGGCAAAGAGGATGGAGATACCACTTTTAAGTGTTTTTCAATGTTTTGAAATATTAGAAACTATATTGGAACATTCGTCACTAACCAATGTTTAAGAGTTAAAAATTGGAAATTTAATCCAATCTTTAAATAAAAATATGGGATTCTTCATGAATTTCAAGAAGAAAAAAAAAGAAGAAGATTGTAGAGAAATTAAACGAACTAGTTCAATTAATTAATGATGAAGAAGTAAAAACCGAAGAATCATCAACTTCATAATACTCCTATCACACAACTCCGGTAGAATAATTTAAAAGAACATACTCAGTAGTTGAACGATCTTCTAAAAATTCAACATCAAATGAAAGAACCTCTTGCTTAAGATATGGTGAAGAAGAAGAAGTATCTTCAATATTCAAACAAAGAAGAGGAAGAGAGACATCAAACTCGGGGAGAAATATAAAAAAAACCTTCTTTGAATGAAGAAGAGAGAGATTGATTAAAGGAAACCTACAAGGTAGATACTTTTCAGGTAACTAAACCATCTTACGAACGATTGCTTATAATGAATACTAAACTACTTAAAGAAAATGATAAATTGAAAGAACACAACTTAGCTCTTAAAGAGTCTTTAAAGTCTCTTGAGGAAATGAGTACATCATTTAAGATAGAAATAAATAAAATTAGAAACTCAAAAGCAACATATGAGACTCATGTCTCTCTGAAAATTCCAGTAGTTGCGTGTTTTTTCATCCTTTTTCACCAAAATTTTCACTGAGTCTCATTCCTCCATACTTGGCTATTTTTCACTCATTCTTGGGTATTTCTTCATTATTTATTATATTTAAATTTATTTAATGTTTATTATTAATAAAGTCATTTCAATAAATAATATTATATTTTAACATTAAAATCAATATAATTAATCATTATTTTAAAAAGTATAAAAATTCAAATATAACACCTAATATGAGACCGATGGAGTTAACATAAAGAAAGAGTAAGTTCTGCATTATTAAGGTGATATACACAAATCATAATTATTTTAAATTCTTCATATTTAAAAATAAATTAAAATTTAATTTGGGCTTTTAAATTTGGGCAAATATTTATATTAATTAAGACATTTTCTAATCAACTAGAATATCAAAACTTAATTGTCTAATCAATTAAAATAAGAGTAACACCTCTTAATCAATTATGCAATCTTATTAATCGATTAAACAACGTCGTAGATTAAGGTTTAATTTTCTAGCTTAACCTAAACGATTAGGTTGATGTCCTAATCAATTAAGAAGCGGCCTAACCTATGGATTGTTGCTTTTTTAAGCCAAATTTTTTCTACATAAATTATGCAAAACCTTGTTTTGCATGTTAGTTCTAGGTGTCATGCCTTTAATAAGAACAATAGCTTTTGATGATGACAACAAGTCCTTAATGACTAGTCAATCATAAGTGGTTAAGCGGTTAAATATGCAAACCAAAATATTATGGTTTAACAGACTTAATTATATGATGATGGAAATCAAACAGAATATAACTCAAACCTCATCATAGGTGAACTCAATCAAGTGTCTACAAAGAAGAAAATATTTGACAAAATCTTGAAGTACAAGAAATTCTCACCTCAATTAGTCTGAGTGAATACTTTGTAAAGTATAAGGGAGTTCTAGGAAAAGTGCATGACTAAATTACACACACATACAAATATTTTTTAAACTGATTTTTTCACAAGAAAACATTTTCAAAAATGTCTTGAAGTCGTGACAAATGATTTGGGAGTTGTCTTAATAGCTTTG